TTAGAACTCAGACGAAATGAACAAAATAGAAACAGATAAGGATTACTGACTCCAAAAAAAACTCGAATCGATTATTCATGAAGCAAAACAATAATGAGAGCGAAATTAAATCAGATAACTAAACAAAAACCTAAAAGAATTTAAGAAACTCACTGGTTTTAACTTCTAAAGTCCTGCTACTTCTCAGATTCAAAATTCGAACATCTCCGGTGAGATTTGAATGCGAGTGACGATGGATTCAACATGAGGGAAGTGAGGGGATCACATGGCATCAATTTGGTGAGGTTTGGGGAACTTAGGGTTTTGGTCGGAACTTTGATCGGAGATTCGAGGAGTTCGGCGGGGATTTGAGGGACGGGGTTTGGGGGTTTGGAAAGAGGAGAACAAGGCGGTTCAGGGGTGTTAGTTTGGACGAGTTTGGAAGCGACGCCGCCGTAGGCGGCGGAGGCGGCGTCCACAGATTTGAAGATTCGAAGAGATCGACTATGATTCGAAGAAAAAGGCTTGGGGATTTAGAAAGAGGAGGGTGAGAGGATGGTGCGGTGTAAATTTGGGACCGTTTGGAGACCGGCCGTCGCCGTGAGGCGATTTCCGGTGGTGGTCCAAGGCGGTGAACGGTGGCGTTAGGCCGGCGATATCAGGGGTGGTCTGAGATGAGGAATGAGGGGTAGGGGGGGTAGATTCCGACATCTTTATACACTTAAACATCGTTAGTTCCGGACCGTTGGATTGGTGAGATCCAACGGTCCTAATTCAAAGACCATAAAACGACGTCGTTTCAATTAGAAGGAGGTTGGACCGGGTATTGGGATGGGTCTTGGGCTCATTAGGCGGATCTGAGGGGATTTTGATTTGGGCCAGGCCAATTTTGGCCCAGTTTTGGTCTTCTTATCAAGCCCCACTTTCTTTTATTTTAATTGTCCCCTTTTTCAATTTTGTTTTGCTTTCATTTTTGTATTTTATATTTTTTCTGATTTTATAAAATGCTAAAACAAAACAAAGACCTAATTAAACTATTTAACTCCTAAAATTACTTAAAACTTTATTTAAAGATAAGTGCAACAATTAACAATTAAAAGTGCAAAGAAACTATTTTTTGCAATTTTCTTTAAATTTTGTTCTAAAATTAATTAATACCTAATTAATACTAAAATTGTGAAATTAAATCCTAAATGCAAAAATGCATATTTTTGTATTTTCATATGAATTAAAATGCACAAATAAAAATGCAACAATTATCAAAAATGCCACCAAATTCATGAAAAATTACAAAATACTAAAGAAATTATTTTGTTTGAAATTTTGGGAATTATTGCTTAGGGCAAAAATCCCGTGCTCACAGTAACAAACCCTAAAATCTCTCTAAAATATAGACATTCGTCTTAAATACAATTCTATTTATAACAGCAAGTTTATTTTTCATATTGTTGGTGCATGACATCATGAAATAACGAAAATCAATACAATCTGTCCAAATATTGTATATTGTTGGGAATTGATTCAAAAACTCTTTTAAGTTTATTGGCTGGATGAAGTTATTTACTGTGAGTTGAATAAGTCTTTTACTAGAGTTGACAGAGTCTTTAGGTCAGTTGCTATTTTTTCTAATTTGGTTGTTGTTTTTCTAGTCATTTCCTAAATTTTAGTCAGGTGGGTGTTATGGATAGATATTATCTTTATGAGCTTGTAAGCCTATAAAAGGCATGCCACTTTCAGTTAATAATATAAGCCTTTCTACAAAATATCTCTTTTAGCTTCTCTGCATTTGCTTTAAGTTTTCTAGTTAAAGACAATCTCTTTTTCTCTACATTGTGGCATCAGAGCCTGCGTTCGGTCTTTGACTGGGCAATAGAGGGATAAGGAGAGAAAACGTGAGGGAGTGAAATTTGAGAAAAACAAAAAGGTATGACAACAAATGCTATTTCCTCTTCTTCACAACCATTCATACCCGTCTTCAATGGCGAGAAGCATGAGTTTTGGAGTATCAAAATGAAGACCTTGTTTATCACAAGAATTGTGGGACTTAGCTGAAGATGGGTTCGTTGATGTGGAAGAGTCGGATGCAGAGGATGGGAGGAGATTAAAAGAAGACAGAAAGAAGGATGCCAAAGATTTGTTCTTTATTCAGCAAGCTGTTCATGAGACGATTTTCTCAAGAATTGCAGCAGCAACTACCTCAAAAGAGGCGTGGCTGATTTTGAAAAAAGAATTTCAAGGTTCTTCAAATAAAACTACAATCTCTTCGTCGCGACTTTGAAACATTATTTATGAAAAATAATGAATCTGTGCAAGACTTTTTATCAAGAGTTACTGGGATTGAAAGTAAAATGAAATCGTATGGTGAAGAGGTAAGTGATGAAACTGTAGTTGCAAAAGTTTTAAGAAGTTTACCTCCAAAGTTTGATCATGTGGTTGCAGCCATTGAGGAATCAAAAGACTTATTTGTGTTTTTGTTTGATGAACTAATGGGCTCTTTGCAATCTCACGAGTCACGAATCAACAAGTCGATTTAGAAGAATGAAGAACAAGCTTTTCAAGTTAAGGAAGAGTCTCCAATTCAGAATGAGAAGTCACCAGAGCAAAGAACACAAGGACGTGGTGGGAGAGGTGCTTTTAGAGGAAGAGGACATGGTAGAGGCAGCGGCCAATTTGGACGTGGTAGAAATGGAGTGCAATGTTACAACTCCACAAGTTCGGTCACATAGAAGCTAACTGCTGGTACAAAAATAATCAAGCTAGTTATGCAGAGGAAGAACAAGAAGAAAGCATGCTTTTTATGGCTCGCTCTACTATCATGGATCATAAGATTGGTTTTTGGTTTATTGATAGTGGATTCTCCCATCACTTGTCTGGAGAAAGGTCAGCATTTAGAGAGTTAGATGAGACAAAAAGGAGGCAAATTTGGCTCGGAGATAATAAGGAAATACATGTTGAAGGTAAAGGTACTGTGGCTGTCCAGCGAGTCAAGGTAAAGTAAAACTTATTCAAAATGTTCTCTTTGCTCCTAGTTTGGCGCATAACTTGCTAAGTGTTGGGCAATTATTAAATAGTGAATTCTCTGTCTTGTTTGATGATGGCTTATGTGTTATTAAAAATAAAAAGACAGGTCAAATCTTAGCAAGTATTCATATGACAGAGAACAAAATGTTTCCTCTTGAAATTTCAAAATTAGAACAAGCATTGGTTGTTAGTGAAAGAAATCTTAAAGAATCTAAGTTGTTGCATTTACGTTATGGACACTTGAATTTGAATGGATTGATGTTGTTGAGTCAACATAAGATGGTTCATGGTTTGCCAAACATAAAATCTGTTGAAAATGTGTGTGAAGGTTGTATATATGGCAAGCAACACAGAAAATCCTTCCCTGTAGGAAAATCTTGGAGAGCTACTAGATGTCTTGAAATTATTCATGCAGATCTGTGTGGCCCTATGAATACGTAATCACTTGTTGGTTATCGATATTTTCTATTATTCACATATGATTATAGTCATATGAGTTGGGTATATTTTTTGAAGTTCAAATCAAAAACTTTTGCAAACTTCAAAAAATTCAAGGCATTGGTTGAGAACCAAATTGGTACTAAAATTAAGGTTCTTCGTACAAACAGAGGAGGTGAGTTTGTATCTCAAGAGTTTAAGTTGTTTTGTGAAGATAATGACATTCACAGGGAATTGACTGCACCTTACACTCTGAAGCAAAATGGAATTGCTGAGCGAAAGAACCGAACCGTAGTGGAGATGGCCAGAAGCATGCTGAAGAGCAAGAATATTCCAAATCAGTTTTGGGCTGAGGCAATTCATACTGCAGTTTATTTGCTCAATATGTCTCCTGCAAGAACAGTCATGGGTCAAACACCAGTTGAAGCTTGGAAAGGTAGAAAGTCGTGGGTAAGTCATTTGAGAATTTTTTGTTGTATTGCATGTGCTTTAATAAATTCTCAACATCATCAAAAGCTTGATGAAAAATATGAGAAGTGCATCTTTATTGGATATTGCTCCGAATCCAAACTTTTTTGATTATATAACCCCACAAATGGCAAAGTGATTATCAGAAGAGATGTGGTATTTGATGAAAACTCATGTTGGAAATGGGAAAGCAACAGTAAATGTTCACAAGTTGTAATGGAAGATGAAGTTTTTTTCTAGTGAAGTAGAAAGTCAGCCTTTTGTTAATAGACCAAGCCACTCTTCAGGAAGTTCCAGTAACATCAGTCCAGTTGGAAGCAGCTCAGCATTGATTGTGCCCGACTCAGATGATTCTAATGAGACTCCTCCACAGATAATAGATTACTTGCAGATATTTATGAAACATGTACTTTTGCTTTATTTGGTGCAGATCCAGCTAGCTTTGAAGAAGCTTCAACAAAAAAGGAATGGAGGTGTGCAATGGAAGAAGAGCTTATGGCAGTAAGGAAAAATGGAATACGGGATTTGGTGGATCTTCCAGATGGCAAAAATGTTATAGGATTAAACTGGGTGTTCAAGAAAAAATATCATATTGATGGGAGTGTGCAGAAACATAAAGCCAGATTGGTAGCAAAAGGATATTCGCAGCAATAAGGTATTGACTTTGACGAATCTTTCTCTCCAGTTGCTCGTTTTGAAATAGTAAGAATCCTTTTAGCATTAGCTGTACAGTTAAAATGGAAGGTTTATCAGTTTGATGTTAAATCTGCGTTCCTTAACGCGACTTGGAAGAAGAAGTCTATGTAGCCCAACCAGATGTCTATGTAGAGAAAGGAAAGAAAAACAAAGTGTACAAGCTGAAGAAAGCCTTTTATTGGCTTAAACAAGCTCCGCGCGCATGGTATAACAAAATCGACTCCTATTTCAGAGAAAATGGATTTGAAACAAGTAAGAATGAACCAACATTATATGTGAAGAAGTATGAGAAAAATGATCTTCTGTTGGTATGTTTGTATGTTGATGATATGATATATATGGGCTCAACGTACACTATTATACGTGACTTCTAATCTTCCATGATGAAGAAGTTTGAAATGACAGATTTGGGGTTGTTGCACTATTTTCTTGGACTTGAAGTGAAGCAAGGAGAAGATGGAGTTTTCATTTCACAAAGGAAGTATGCCATTGATTTGCTCAAAAGGTTCAATATGCTTAATTGCAAAACAGTGCCAACTCCTATGAATGTAAATGAGAAGCTGCAACTTGAAGATGGTATTGAAAAAGTTGGTGGAAGCTATTTTAGAAGCTTAGTTGGAGGCCTAATTTATTGGACTCACTCCCGTCCGGATATATCATTGTATGTTGGAGTTATTTTGAGGTTTATGCATAAACCTTCAAAGCATCATCTTCGAGCAACTAAAAGAATCTTGCGCTATGTTGCAGGAACTATGAATTTTGGACAATGGTACTCTCGATGTTCTAGTTTTAATCTGTATGGATTTTCGGATATGTGACTGGGCAGGATCTTTAGATGATAGGAAGAGTGTCTCTGGGAATTTTCACTTTTGGTTCTGCAGTTATTACTTGGAACTCAAAGAAACAAGCAACAACAGCGTTGTCATCTTTAGAGGCAGAATATGTTGCAGCCACGTCATCAGCATGTCAAGCATTATGGCTAAGGTAGATACTTACAGATCTTTACCAAGAGCAAAAGGAAGCAACAAAAATCATTTGTGACAACTTATCAGCAATTGCAATGATCAAAAATCCTGTATTTCATGAAAGGTCGAAGCACATAGACATTCGACATCATTTCATTCGTGAACTAGTTGCAAAGGGGCTGATTGAGTTGAAGCACTGCAACACTGAAGAGCAAGTAACAGACATTCTTACTAAAGCACTTCCTCCGGCAAAACACAATTACTTTATGTTATGTATGTGATTTTGAATCAAGGGGGAGTGTTGGGAATTGATTCAAAAACTCTTTTAAGTTTATTGACTAGATGAAGTTACTTACCGTGAGATGAATAAGTCTTTTATTAGAGTTGACAGAGTCTTTAGGTCAGTTTCTATTTTTTCTAATTTGGTTGCTGTTTTTCTAGTCATTTCCTAGATTTTAGTCAAGTGGGTGTTATGGATAGATATTATCTTTACGAGCTTGTAAGCCTATAAAAGGCACGTCACTTTCAGTTAATAAAATAAGCCCTTCTACAGAATATCTCTTTTAGCTTCTCTGCATCTGCTTCAAGTTTTTTAGTTAAAGACAATCTCTTTTTTTTTTTTTACATATATATCAAAACAATACACTACAATATAATACAATGCAATACTATACGATATATTATGAAATGATACATACCAACCATCCAAACAAGCTGGAAGGTGTAAAATAAGTGAGAGCTAGGCTTTCTTCTGTCATCGCTTTTAATCAATGACTGCTCCCTCTAACAAGTTCGGGTACCTCCATTAACAGCCAATATGGTACGGCATTTTCCCTTTATTATGCATCATTTTTGGAATTGGACACTTATGCAAGTAGAGTAAGATGTGCATGGCATTGATTCTTTTGCATTAATTGTTGCCCATTCTACTCAAATAGTACATCCAAATGATGATGACTATGATGATGAGAATGTCAGGATGAGATCGCGATCATACTGTTATTGTATTAAGTGAGCGTTTGGACATCAGAATTGTAAAATTCCAAACAAGGGTGAAATTTTTTTTCAAGTGAAAATGATATTTGAAATTTTGATTTGTGTTTGGACATGAATATAATTTTGGGTTGTTTTCGAAGTTTTGTGAGTGATTTGAGTGAAAATTTTGAAAAACAGGTTTTTGGAGTTTTTTAAAAAATTAAAAATTTCCAAAATGCATCTTCAAGTGAAAATTGAAAATTTTATGAACAAACGCTGATTTCGAAAAAAAGTGAAAAAATTTTTAAAAAAAGGGAAAAAAAATTTATGTCCAATCGCGCTATAAATTTTTTATTGATAGATGCCCCTCCAAAGCAATATAGTACAAATAAAGAAAGACTAGAGGAGAAGTAGGAGAAAATGAATAGAGATAAAGAAAATTCATATTGTGACTTGCTCTTGGCATCATTGACACAGATAAGCTTGCTAGCTTTGTTTGCATCCAGAAGGATGCCTCCCAAAGCAATATGGTACAACCATGTGTGCGTCTCAATTCTAACGGAGCATATTCTCCTTTCTTTAATAATTTTTTCTCAAACACATTAGTTGGGATGTTTCCTTATTTTCAGCAATTGGATATAAAGTAAGTATCAAAAAGGTATGTTCTGTGTGCTTTTTTTTTTTTCGAATGGATGAAATTCAGTCTTTGTCTCTACTAAGGCTGTATGGTGGGCCGGGCCCGGGCCTAAATGGGCTAAACGGGCCTGGGCTTAGCGGTCCCGGGCTCTGGTAGTCCCGGGCTTCACGGTCCCGGGCTTCGTGGGCTCAACGGGTGGGACCAGCCCGTGACGGGCCTAAGCCCATATGGTCCTGGGCTAAATGGCCGGGCTCGTGGGCTTAGCGGGCCTAACGGGCTTTTTTATTTCCGGGCTTTTTTTTTAATTTTTTTTTATTTAAGGCAATTTTTTCTAAACCATATATGTATGTATATATATAAATTGCTCTTATGCATGGCTATATAAATATATGTAGTATATATAATATAGAAATCTAATTATTAAAGTGCTTGACGAAAAAGTAAAATAACAAAACAATAGTAAAACTAAATTGGCATGCATAATAAATTAATAACAAAGTACAACATGAGGCATAAATACGTCTAATAATTTTAAAATAACACAAATTGTTGAAAAATCTTAAAGACGAATTTGCGGATAAATACCCTCAACACAATACTTTATATGCCTCCTTAAAATGCCTGTGGTACACCCTGAACGAAAATTTAAGACTCTTCCACAGTTCTTGCACTTTAATATTTGGCCTTCTTCATTTTCTTCAAGCACTCCATAGTATTGCGAAACAAATAAGCGTACTCTTTCCGTACGAAGCATGATTTAACTTGAAAATTGAGATTGAGACTTGAAGTCTTGAAAATTGGAGATTGAGAGAAATTTAGATTGAGAAATGAGTATTGAGTATTGAAATGAAGAAGAGGGAGGGGGGTATTTATAGTGTTAGAGAAGGTTAGTTTTGTAAATTGAAAAAAAACGGCTATTTGTGCAATATGACCGTTGGTGGTCATTGGGGGCGGGGCCCTCATTTTGAAAAATCTTGTTTTGTAGTATATATAGTACTACTTCTTCAAGTATATATAATATATATAGTATACTAGTATAGTATACTATATATTGTATGTTATGTATATATATTCCCTTATATATTTTCTTGTAGTATATATTGTATGTTATGTATATATATTCCCTTATATATTTTGTTGTAGTATATATTGTATGTTATGTATATATATTCCCTTATATATTTTGTTGTAGTATATATTGTATGTTATGTATATATATTCCCTTATATATTTTCTTGTAGTATATATTGTATGTTATGTATATATATATTATAGCTTATAAATAATTGCAAGTTAAAGACAAAAAAATATTGCAAAGAGATATTCAAGGGCATGTCTTATAATTTTTATTACCAAAAATGGCATATCTTTCTTAGTCTTCTTCCCCCCAATGGAATAAGCACAACAAGGTACTAATACCACCATTAAAAGGAAAAAAACTAAAGAAGATATGCCAAAGTACAAGTTACACCATAATCTACATTGTATCTCTAACAAATCTCATAAATCCTTCATGGTTCGGAGGAGGTTCCGTTGGTGGTGGCGGAAATGAAGCTTGTTCATCACCGCTTCCGGGCGAAGCAGCATCCTCCGCAAGTTCCGCTATCATTTCTTCATAAGCTTCGTCTATCTCCGGTTGTGATTCTGCAAGTCCAAAGTTTCTTCTTTCCGAGCGGATCCAATCTCTGAATAGTACTGATTTTTCCAAGCTCTCCCTCATAGACGCTCTATAATCACCTATTTGAAGTCTTGCTTGACTGAAAGCGCTCTCTGATGCAACTGTTGAAGCTTGAATAGATAAAATATCCCGAGCCATCCTTGCAAGAACTGGAAAATATTTTTCCCTTGCCTTCCACCATTCCAAAAGATCAAAGGTGCCGTCTGGATTCTCCTTTTCAAGTCCCTGCGACAAATAAACTTGAAGCTCATTTAGATGTGAAGTCTCATCAAAATTATCACCTTGAGAACCCCTAAACTCCGTCCAAGATTTAAGTGCTTGTAGGCCCGCAGCTCTTTTAGATGATTGTGAACTAGACGAAGTAGGGGTTGGAACATTTGGCCTAGCATGATCTAACGCAAGTTGGTAAGCATTATAAATTGTTTGCGCATTTATTTTAATTGAGGCTTTTGCCTCTGCAAGTGTAGAAAATTCCTCAACTGAAAGATCTAAAGCCTTATAAATATTTGTGTACCAAAAGTGAGGACCTCCTAATTTCATTGTAGGATTTAACAATGCAGCAACACCATAAATAGGGGGGATAGGGAAAAAATATTTTTTAAACTTTTCTTTCATTGCATTTATAGCAAGTTGATAAATTTCCCCACCCTCCGAAAATTCAACAAACAAATCACATAGTGCTGCAATATAAACTAAACAATTTGAAATAGTAGGATAATATTGTCCAGAAAATGCATTTGTAGCAATTTGAAAATGTTCTAAAAAATCTATAAGAATTTTGACATTCGTCCAATCTTGATTTGTAAGGATTTCATCATCATCCTCACCACCAACACGAGCATTAAACGTTGCATTAATTGGGTTTCTATATTCATATGCAACTACTAAACTTTCGTACATATAATTCCATCTAGTTGGACAAGGTTTAGGAACCTTTCTTTCTCTAAGGCCAAATTCATCACATTTTTTAAAATACTCTCTAAGTCTACTTCTACGGTTTGAATAAAATAGCCAATTAAGAGCCATTCTAACCTTTTCAATTTCTAAATTTAAAATTCTCATACCATCAACCGACGATTAAATGGTAAATATGACAATACATCTCACATGGAAACAATTACTAAATGCAGGATTTAGTGTTGTTGTAAGTATGCCTATAGCACTAGTGTTACTAGAAGCATTATCCATAGAAATTGCCATTATTTTATCTCTAATGCAAAAATATCTACAAATATCTGCAACAGTGTTAGCAATAAACTTACCTGTGTGACGTGAATTAATTATTCTATAAGCAATAATGCGTTTTTGCATTATCCACTCCTCATTTATCCAATGACTTGTAACAGTTAGATAATCACAGTCATTATTACTTCTACCAATATCAGTAGTAATAGAAATTCGATTAGTTATATGAGTAAATAAATACCGCAAATATTGTTCATATTCATGTTTATATTTATAAATATCGCTCTTAACTGTTGCGCGAGGCCAACCTTTATAAGTAGGATTAAAAACTTTTCTAATATAATGCACAAAATTAGGGTTAGAAGGAAAAGTATAGGGTAAGCACATAACGGTAACCATCTTTGCTAATTCTTCACGATCTTTATTAGGATCGTAATATAAAATACCACCGGTCACAGTGTTAATTCCTGGTTGAACTAGATTTGAACCTGTACTAGGGTTAACCGCAGTATCTACACTTGTCCCCTCTTGCTGCGCTTTCATTTGTAAATATTTAACTTTATCTCTAGGGTGTGTTTGTATGTGCCTAGCCAAACTACCCGTACCGCTACGGTCTCCAGTATATTTATGCGCCAGCAATTTCCCACAAGTTTTACACTTAACCTTATTTTGTTCTCTTACTTGAGTAAAAAAATTCCAAACTATTGATGTTTCTAGGCGTTTAGAAGGTTGTCTATTAAAAGTAGGGGTTTCTACAGGTGGGTCGGGCGGGGCATCAGTTGGGTTATTAACAGGACTAGTAGGTG